TGCAGTGTAAGCTTTTCATGCCAGCTGCATGGGTTTTCACTGTAGCCATCGCGTCCCTTCCAACACTTTCGATATATTGGTTGCTGTGGTGCTGCAGTTTTTGCTTTACGGAATACTAACTGAAGTAAACTTCTTGGGGAGTCACTTTTATCTTTCTCTCTATAAGAACAGCGGACTCTTCAGTTTACTGCGCTTTGACTGTGACATGCTGATGCCGCCTCTATCACAGTGTCCTATGGAGACACTTTTACGTGTAAACGTGCATTTTTGCATTGTACCTTATGTTTCTCACCATTTTTTCCAACGATAACTTCCTTTTAAACTGTCGACGTTATGCTGAAATATGCATGCGGAAGAAATTTCTGCTAATTAATATCTTATTCAAACTTATGGTTGTTACTGTTAACAACAAATTTTTTTGAAAATCTTGGAATTAAATCCGTTCTTGGCATAGTCTAGGTTGCAGCGATGTTTGCAAACCTTCTGCTGATGTTTAATGACCATGTAGAAATTACTGAATTAGTCGAAATGTTTGTGCAGATATAACTATTGTTTTTCAGAAGATAGAATAACGAAAAATTAGTTTGATCGTTGTCTTTATCAGAATCCGCTATTGCTGCGCATTTAAAATATACACTCATTCAGAAAAACCTCCACTAAATAGGAGACGATTGTCATTTAGCATGTCGGTCAAAGTGTTCCGCTTGGTCAACTTACACATCTTGGCTCGCTCTCCAGTGCTTATTATAGGAAAAAGGAGAGACTGGACGAGCATAGAGATGCACTGCAGCAGAAATAAGCGCACCGCGCGGGCTTGTCACAGCGGTTTCTTAAACAACGATACCATGTACTCAAATATATATATATATATATATTTATTTATTTATTTATTTATTCATTCATTTATCTATAGCTTTTTGTTGTTTGAGCGTTTTTCTTCATCAGTTCCACCGCCTTTGACTGAAGCGGAGAAGAATTACGAACCATGTGCGATCGAAAAACGTGTCAGATGGTGGTTAAGTGAAAAGCGGAGAGTTGACGCTAGCCCTGAGAGGTAAGTTTTTGATCGAAAGTGTCTGTAATTTTAACTTATTGGCTATAATTACTACGATTCTTGATGCAGGTCGTTCGATACAAAAGCTATTGACTCATGCGCGGCATTTCGCATGCTATCTCATGCTTTTCGAGCTGCAGCAGTTACGCGGTTCGTCTTGGTAACTCTCTCATTTAATTACCTCATAAATTCATGGATTTTAGCGCTGATGAGGCGCAGTCTGTGGATGGATCTTTGGATATTCTCATGGATTCACTCATGGGCTCTCTTGGTCCTTTGCTAACCATTGCTTCCGCTGCATTTGAAGATTTGGTGGGTTTTTTTTCTTCTGGGTTTTTTTGCAATTTTCAGTTTATCAGTAGGGTTAAATATTCCACCAATTGCATCAGATTCCTGATGAACTCTCGCAAATGCTTTGGAATTCTTCGTCTGTGCATCTGCCTACTTTTCAGTAGTCTCAGCTTGTCCATCTGCACTATCGTTTATCTTCAAGCGTCGTGTAATAAGTTTTGTAAAATAGCTCCATGAAATATTTTTGAAATTTATATAGCGTAGTGATTGCGATACAACTTTTCAATTTACTGTTCAACAATCGTATTATCCATATTTTAAGTACTGACATCTGACATGATTTTCAGGGTTACTCGATTTCTACACTTAGTACACTAATGATCTCATGTTTGCTGTTGACCTTTTTTGCTGAATTATTTTCTTG